TGAACGATAAACAAATACATTGAAAATATTACAAATATGCCGTTACCTGCACTCGGAGGATAAATTGTGTGCCATTTGAGATGGCAAGCCAACACTATTCGGACACGTTGTGCCATGATAAGCTACATCTGCAGCATTGTATGTGCTGCAGGTGTAGCTTGTATCTATACTTGTATAGCAACTTCGTGGTCCCTGGTGGAATCTAATCATTAGGCAGTAGCTTAATGGCACTAAACTTGCACTGACAGCCCTTGTGATGAGAATCATGATCTAATCTATCCCTGTTGCATGGACCAAATTTTGCCTTTGTTGATGGATCTTGAATGAAATTTGAGCTAAGCATACTCTTCTTGCCCCTTTTTGAAGTACCATACTTGCAATAGTACATTGTACATCAACGGTGTCTAGCCCCTCCACCCTTGTATGAGCAGCGTGTCACAAATTACGTCTATACATCACTATAACAAGATGCCTATTCCGAAACAAAATCGTTAAGCCTCGAGCTTTTCATGTAGGCCATCCCATGCGACCAATCAGGATTAAAGAATTGAAAGGGCCATTCCACGGTGGTTCCTGCAAAAAGCACCGGTCATGTGCTTTTTGCTGTTCACCACACCTGCAAAAAGCACCTGAAATGACAAGAAAAGGACAAGCACAAGCTCTGGCACAAGCTCCTCACAGCACTGACAGTGGCACGCAAAAGCGACGTCGAAACATCGACGAGCTGGAGGATATCGATGTAACCCTATTTTCAAAAACCCTAAACTTTGCTGCCTAAAATTTTGTCGCCACAATATGTTATCACTGTTTGGATTACATATATTACAGTTTGAGTTTATTAGTGATTCCAACTAAGCTATCCCTCATGCTGTTTAGTTTTAATTTTAGGAACCCTTGGTTTAGATTCCACTAGTTTTAGTTTCTGGAACCTTACGTCCTCTACAGTGACGGCCTCTACATGGTTGTTGGAATTTAATCCAGTTGACGGCCGCTACATGGTTGTCGGAAAGTCGGGTTCGCGGACCCTAAAGTCCCCAAAACTAAGATAGAATCCGGCTGACTCGGGGCTGCCCGAAGGAAGCATGAAGCAAGAAAGAAAGAGGAGAAAGAAACTGGGATCCTGACACCTTGCAGTACGGCAGTTTGTGTAAGTTTGTGCAACTAAGTGAGTCGGTGAGGAAACAGTCATTCATGATCATCATGAATAGTTATATAAAATAGGGTTCGGGATAAGTGTATGGGAATCTACAAATATTGTTGTTTCCCTTGTGCATGTAGAGAAGTATATTTCAACCATATACCAATAACACATATGAGCAGGCCTATGCTAACTTGGCATTTGCCAAATTTGTCATAACTTAGTCTATTATGGCATCAGCCAATTTTTATTTATGACAAATATGACTTTAATTTGCTTGAATTGCTTATAATCTATGCTTACTAGAGTGACAATATCATTAAGGAAGATATATACTCATCTTTCTCTTAGATAATTATGGAGAAATCACCCTCCACACGCATAGTTTCAGGATACACCGTTTGGAAAATCTAAGTTCAAAAGTAATCCATGCTTCATCAAATTCCACGGATTCTGGCATTTCATACATTTGATACCCTTTCTCATTCTATCAATGAATACATTCTCAATTTTGAGATCAAATAAAAGGTAGTAGAATTGTGTCGACTATGTTTACGCTATAATCCAAACACAATTGATCATAGGTTGCAACAAAATGAGTAGGATAGTATTCAAAGAAAGTTTGTTTGACGTGTAATTAGAGAGTATGATATTCACTCCATATTTGCCAAGTGTTGACTTTCAAGATGTTGTGATTCCAGCTCTAGTCAGTGTGGAACCTTATTTTGTGATTCTAGCCGGACCTTCGTTTCTGTTTGATTATTTTTTTTCACCGTTCATACTTGGCAAAAGCTACAAAAACCCGATGTAATGACACCATACGTGAAGATCTTGAGCCCATAGTCAAGTTCGTGAGAAAGAGATTAAATGGCGTTCTGTATTTCTTTGAAGACATTTCATCAACGTGAACAGCGAACAAGAGAGAACAAAGACGTTTTAATAGTGAACAAGAACGAAAGGAGACTTGGACTTCCATTCTTATTTACGGCATCACGCAAAAATTATTTATGACAAATATGGCATAGCACCTCCAAATGCCATATTTGAAGAGGCCTGCATATGAGCCTTTGGATGAGTGATGGTAATAAAAATCTATCTTAATTACAATCGAGACATGATTCAGTATGCGAGTTTTACATTGACAGTTGTTATCTCAAGAGCTTTGGTGAGAGTCCACATCAGGGCTAGATTGAATATATGCAAGATGTGACGAGTGCAAGAGAATCCACGTCACCCGTTGTAGACAAATACATCGTCTCGAAAATGTTTGACATATATACAAAGTATTCCAAGCCATTGACAAGCTTCTATACAGTGCCATGATAGTAAGAACACCACCATAGTTCCATGATCAGAGGAAACAGGAGCTTCTACCTCTAGCCTTACACGATACTGTTCCTCCTGGACTACTTATTGCTGGATTGATTGATACCATGCAACGTGGTCTGTGTAATGCATGAATGAGCCTAATAAACGGGGAACGTCGTGGACGAAGTTGTAATCGGTCATCAGGGCCTATCATCTTGATATCATTGAGAATCTGATCGATCGCCTGCCGAATGTTCTGCCAATTACTTCGAATTATGTTTCGATTGAATGTTCAGTCTTTGCCTCGTACCAATCTGTACGACGTTTCTCGGCTTTGGGAGAAGTGCTCTAAAAAGCACGAGGTTCACAAAGACGATCTTCGCGTTTCAGCTTCTGCTAAAACGTGAAAATTCGATGAATCGGTCGATGGGTTGTGATCTGATTCACCTCTCGTCACGAGGAGACTTCGCTCATCCGGATCTGCATAACTAGGGTTTAACGCAATCAGCAGATCGTTCAACGGTAACAATTCACACACGTTGACACCGACCGAGTTTCGAGATCACGTGACGGGCTGTAAGCTTGGAATGCTCTTCTGTGCTGATCCGTAACGCCCTTGGCGCGTCATGTCTACCAAGCAGCGCATTGCACTGACGCATAACCGGTGGGAGACCGGAGGAGCGTAACACATTTTTCATGAAAAGGTTCAGATCATCAGCAATATTGATTTATCCCCCAAATTCTGAAGCTATTGGCAGGACGTGAAGGCAGTACTGTAGATCCGAATTTCATATCGTCGTCAAAATCTATTATACAGATCTCGTGGATGGCATTTGGCTTCCATTGTGATCGTGGTGATGCAGCCGGAGGTAATGATTGGAGCCATAGGCACGACTTGACACTATTTCTCTCATGTTCTCTCTTGTCATGTCACCTTCTGAAGTATGGAATGTGTCCTGGACGAAAAAACCAATGGGATTCAATTGTGTGGAGAGTTTAAATATCTTCCATGAACCAGATTACTAACACTGTCCAGATATCCCTGAGAAGCGTCAAGGCTTCATTTAAAGCTCTCTAGTTGTAGTATTAGGTCTGAGTAATATATCTTCCTTCACTGAGTTAGCTTCTAGTTAGCTTTAACAAAGCCTCGATGTTTCACTTAGATATCGATTGATAACATGCATAAATTTTGTTATTGATGAAAAATATTTAAACCTCTCCAAACGATGCATGGGAACTCAGCTTTGGAAGACCCCGTCGAAGCTCACAATCGGCTGCAGAAACCGGCAATCGGATGGAAGCAATACTCAAATTCTCTTCCCGTCACGCCACCCGATGGCTCGAAGAAAAAAAGGTTCCAACCCAGCCCCTTCGCATACCAGCACGATCGAATCTCGTCGTTCTTACCGGGATGGACCCCAAAACGTAGCCGCACAATTCAGTCCCTTCCTCGCACCTCACAGAAGAGATCTCCCACGGCGTGGCTTCGTTAGTTTCGGATGCCCACAATCACACCGACACAGTTAACTTTGAGACCACATCTCGTCGGAGGCCCACCTTGGCCCCGTGCATGCTCGACGCCTGTGAAACCAAATACGCGTTTTCTACCAGCTTCGTGAAGACCACGTTGAAGCTCTGTGATATGAGAGAAAATCATTCGTCAAGTTTCAATATCCCGCAAGTCGATCTTCGATTCATCACATAACGTATGTGGATGGAGGGGCCCAAAACGTAGACCCCAAAACGTAGCCGCACAATTCAGTCCCTTCCTCGCACCTCACAGAAGAGATCTCCCACGGCGCGGCTTCGTTAGTTTCGGATGCCCACAATCACACCGACACAGTTAACTTTGAGACCACATCTCGTCGGAGGCCCACCTTGGCCCCGTGCATGCTCGACGCCTGTGAAACCAAATACGCGTTTTCTACCAGCTTCGTGAAGACCACGTTGAAGCTCTGTGAGATGAGAGAAAATCATTCGTCAAGTTTCAATATCCCGCAAGTCGATCTTCGATTCATCACATAACGTATGTGGATGGAGGGGCCCAAAACGTAGACCCCAAAACGTAGCCGCACAATTCAGTCCCTTCCTCGCACCTCACAGAAGAGATCTCCCACGGCGCGGCTTCGTTAGTTTCGGATGCCCACAATCACACCGACACAGTTAACTTTGAGACCACATCTCGTCGGAGGCCCACCTTGGCCCCGTGCATGCTCGACGCCTGTGAAACCAAATACGCGTTTTCTACCAGCTTCGTGAAGACCACGTTGAAGCTCTGTGAGATGAGAGAAAATCATTCGTCAAGTTTCAATATCCCGCAAGTCGATCTTCGATTCATCACATAACGTATGTGGATGGAGGGGCCCAAAACGTAGACCCCAAAACGTAGCCGCACAATTCAGTCCCTTCCTCGCACCTCACAGAAGAGATCTCCCACGGCGCGGCTTCGTTAGTTTCGGATGCCCACAATCACACCGACACAGTTAACTTTGAGACCACATCTCGTCGGAGGCCCACCTTGGCCCCGTGCATGCTCGACGCCTGTGAAACCAAATACGCGTTTTCTACCAGCTTCGTGAAGACCACGTTGAAGCTCTGTGAGATGAGAGAAAATCATTCGTCAAGTTTCAATATCCCGCAAGTCGATCTTCGATTCATCACATAACGTATGTGGATGGAGGGGCCATACTTCTCGCCCAAAAGGTGCACGCGCTCTTCCAAGACTTGTGGTCCAAGTTAGCATCGACGAGAGGCGCGCAATTCGGTGTCGCTCCGCCTCCCCTCCTTCGGATGCCGACATTCACACCTACACAGTTGACTTTGATGTCTTCGTGGTCCTTCGCGGAGACAGCATCTCGTCGGAGATGCCATACCCGTTCACGGCTGGCTCCCTTCCTCGCACCTCACAGAAGAGATCTCCCACGTCACGGCTTCGTTAGTTTCGCCGAGACCCACCTTGGCCCCGTGCATGTTCGACGCACCGGGTTCAAACCAAATACGCGTTTTCTCCCAGCTTCGTGAGAAACCCCGACTCTGGCCCTCCATCTCTGGGGCTCTGTTCAGATCCGCATCGAGAGTGATGCCAGAAGAAATCATCAGAGCTCCCTTAGTCGGTCTCTAGCTCACATGCGCATCTCAGCCCTCAATTTTTACAAGTGCTAAGTGCGCGTCTGTGGCATGCCAACCACGGAATTGGCCTGGGAAGCCGCCTCGCATCACTACGACGAGGGTCAGACGTAGATTTTTGGCCTTACGAAGTTCGACATCTCCTTAGGAGTTTCATGGTTTTCTAATCATGGTTGGCATGCGTCGGGAGGACCGACCTCGTTGGTCTAGGAGTTCGCTTAAAGAGGTCTTGGGGATATTTCACGGGGATGATTCCTCGTTTTCGGAGGAATACGGAGGAGGGTATAGTTCTATTGTGAGTTTCCACTTCGTAACTTGTATGTTAACATTTGTTTATTTTTATTTTTTTTATTGTTTTCACTAATCTTTCACTTACTTTTTCTGTGTTGTGCAAACTCGAATGAAGAATCAATATCAGCCGTTGCTATTTGATGGATATCAACAAAATTCACATTTGTTGATATGTATGTTCACATTTGTTGATTTTTCTATTTTTTTTTCACTCATTTGAGCAATCACCACCAATGCATAACCACGACTGTGATCTTCCGCCACACTTGATATAACACGAACACATCACTCCTCCGGATGAAGAATTTTTTGATCTGAGTGGAGAAAAAATTGTGAGTAATAACTTACCAGTAATTTAATTTTTCATGTGTAAGGACAGTCAGTGATTACGCTCTTCTCAATGCGGGTTTGAATGTACACTTGCACAATTCACTGAACCAAGTGTTACGCAGATTGGAGAAATTCTCAACTTGGAAGTTCTCTAATGTTCTTCCTCAGTTCAAACTTTCCAAGCCAGGCACCTCAAATTTGGCAAGTTTTTTAAAATAGTCGTGTGCAGGTTTGCCCGCTCCAGTGAACCAAACAAGTGGCTAGAAAACAAGAGTCTTGACGCTCTCTTCACTTTCTCTTTTCTACAACTGCCCTAACGTCGAAGTGTCGGTTTGCAGGAAGAGGAAATCAAAGTATCAGGCTCAGATGCGGAAGTTGCAATTCGAATTGATATAGGTAATTTTCATTCTTACGTAACGTGATTGTGCTGGTTTCATACACGAAGAAGCCACTGAATAAATCTTTAGGACAGCTTCAGACTTAGCATGAGGAATCGAGGTCGAACAGACGTCCACTAGATACTAGTAACGCAGTACACTTAGATCGTTTTTTTAAAAAGGAGAGCAGTAGCAGTCCTTCGAGAAATTTGTTTGATGACGATGCTCAAGTAACACATTGAGGAAGAGCTAATTTATGCTGTTTAACGTTGTTAGATAAATTCTGTAAACTGGCATATTACAGCTTCTGTGTTCCATATGCTATTGTTTGAAGTTTCAATGACTTCTACAGTGCGCATAGTGTTTGTTTTCGTCTACTACAAAGTCTTTGAAAGCTCTCAAAATTGTCCCACCCGAACGGTTCAAAAATGCAACAGGTCGGATTACTCCGGAGAATTTTACCTTGTATCGGGAGAAAGCCGAAAAGAATGGATTCGACGTCGATGCTGCTACTCTTGCAACGATGGTGGAGAAGAACGACAAAGATACTTTGATCCGTCTTGGACGTATTCATGGACTCGCAGCCAAGCTGCAGGTGACTGAGAAGCGAGGCGTAAGCGAAGATGAGACTGACATTCAGAGGAGGAAGGAAGTCTTTGGATCAAACACGTATCCGGAAAAACCTCCGAAGGGATTTTTTGCTTTTGTGTGGGAGGCGATGCAAGATCGTACGTTGATGATAGTGGCAGTTTGTGCTCTTGTCTCTCTTGCTGTGGGTATCCCAACTGAAGGACTTCAAGAAGGATGGTATGATGGGGCCGGCATTGGCTTCAGTATCATCCTCGTTGTGCTTGTCACTGCTGCTAGTGATTATCAGCAGTCTCTTCAGTTTCGAGATCTGGACGCTGAGAAGAAGAAAATCTCCATTCAAGTAACTCGGAGCGGATGTAGGAAAGAAGTGTCTATTTACGACCTCGTCGTTGGAGACATTGTCCATCTGAGTAGCGGCAACCAGGTTCCAGCAGATGGCGTGCTTATCAGAGGGTACGAGCTTACAATTGATGAGTCGAGTATGACTGGCGAGAGTCTTCCTAGGCACAAGAGTGTCGATCGCGATCCATTTCTTCTCTCTGGAACGAAAGTGCAGGATGGCTCTGGAGTGATATTAGTGACCTCCGTTGGCATGAACACTGAATGGGGCCATTTGATGTCCACACTTTCGGAAGCTGGTGATACCGAGACACCTTTGCAGGTCAATCTAAATGATCTGGCAGTTTTCATGAGAAAGCTCGGGCTGCTGGCAGCAATCCTTACTTTCCTTGTCCTTATGATAAGGTTTCTCGTCAATAAGCAAATGAGAGAAGGTCTCTTGCACAGGGTCGGCGATAATCCACTTGCCATTGTTAACTTCTTTGCCACAGCCGTGACGCTCAGTGTGGTAGCCGTCCCGGAAGGGCTTCCTCTTGCTGTGACTCTCACGCTTGCGTACGCAATGAAGAAGATGATCCACGACAAAGCTTTGGTCCGCCACCTGGCGGCTTGTGAAACTATGGGCTCCGTCACAACAATCTGCAGTGACAAGACTGGAACTTTGACCACCAATAAGATGGTGGTCACGAAGGCGTGGATTGCCGGGGAAGACGGTGAAGTTAGCGAACTGAAGTCGGGGATCTCAGCTCGAGTTCGGGAAATCCTCATTGAAAGTATATTTATGAACACGAGTGGTGATGTCGGCGAGCCATCTAAGGATGGGAAGTGTCCCCTCATTGGCACACCAACAGAAACTGCTGTTCTTGACCTCGGAGTGAAGCTTGGTGGACAATTCCAAGAAGTGCGTGCCAAGTCAGAAGTTGTGAAGGTGAATCCCTTCAACTCCGAGCGGAAGAGAATGGGAGTTCTTGTGCGATGTGCACAGGGTGAACAACGAGCACACTGGAAGGGTGCTTCTGAAATTGTGCTAGGCATGTGTGACCGAACCGCGGACAAGGATGGAAACGTCGTTCCTCTAGACGACGTTACACGCGGAAAGCTTGTTGGCGTTATAGCAAACTTTGCTCACGAGGCACTCAGGACTCTGTGTCTTGGATATAAGGTCGTGGAATCTCATTCTGCTTCAGAAATCCCCGAATCCCATTTCGTTTGCATTGCGATTGTGGGAATTAAAGATCCAGTACGCCCTGGGGTTCCAGAAGCCGTTAAATTGTGCTTTGCAGCAGGAATTAAAGTTAGGATGGTCACAGGAGATAATATCGATACCGCGAAGGCCATAGCACGTGAGTGTGGTATTCTTACTGATGGAATCGCAGTAGAGGGCCCTGACTTCCGTACGTGGAACGATGAGCAGATGAAAGAGCGCATTCCTAAACTTCAGGTCTGTGATAAATGTCCCATCGGTTGTAGTCTTTCCTTTCTCGCGTATCATGTAAATTAGTTCCTTCTAACATTTCTTTTGTCTTCCCCCTAGCTCATGCACCCGAATTCTCTTCTGCTCTATCCGCATCTTGTGTTACTTAAACGATGACCACTATCAGTGAATAACATCTGGCTGGTGTAGGTCATGGCCAGATCATCGCCTAGGGATAAAATAACTCTGGTCAAGTGGCTTCGATCTATGGATGAGGTTGTTGCTGTGACCGGTGACGGAACAAATGACGCGCCGGCCTTGAAGGAAGCGGACATCGGAATGGCTAGGGGGACTGCCGGCACGGAGGTACATACTCTTCGATGTATAGAGAGTTTCACTTGCTTCCCATTTGGAGAAAAATGATGACGAACGAATTGAAATTGAACTCTCTTTATGTTGTTATGGTTCTAACTCCTCAGGTGTTGTGACGTCACTCAGATGCTTTCGTTTCGTTGTAAGTTTTGAAGAGGCAAACAGATCTGTGATCTCTTTGTACCTCCCTTTATATCTTCAATGTGATGGGGGCCAATGAAAGAGTCCGCTTGTTTCGTCAGAGCAGTTCGCTGTTGTTTTCCCTGAGTTCCAGCTCCTTGTAATCGGCGATTTCCTTCTGCAGGTGGCTAAGGAGAGCGCAGATATCATTATTATGGACGACAACTTTAATACAATTGTGGTTGTGGGTAAATGGGGTCGCGCTGTGTATACCAACATCCAAAAATCTGTCCAGTTTCACCTCACCATGAATCTTAGTGTCATGGCCATCAGACTTATTTCTGCTTGCTTTACTGGTAAGTACTTCATTCTATTATTTCGTCTCGTGATCGCCATTGTGCGAGTACAATTCTCACCTCATCAATTACGTACATCAACCGTGCAATACATGATGCTGTCATGAATTTTAGTTTTTTGTCCTTTCAATGTACTGATGTCTTCGTTTACATCTCTTCCTTGCAGTACTATGGAATCCGGTAGTTGGAGCAACTGGCTTCCATAGTACTGCAATGTCTCCAAATAACGGAAATTGAAAGGTAGAGTGTCAGTGCTGTATATGAAATATCTCATAGATCCCCTCTCAGTTGAGTCTGGACGATGCGAATGATCTCCGATGTTTTCTTCTTATTGCAGGAGAATCTCCACTCACTGCTGTGCAGCTTTTGTGGGTGAATGTCATCGGGGATATTGGTGCATTGGCACTAGCAACTCAACCTCCACATGATGATCTGATGAAGAAAGCGCCTACAGGGCGTAAGGCAAAGTTCATCACCAACATAATGTGGCGTAATATCATCGGGCAGGTTGTCTATCAGCTTGTTGTGCTTACCATCTTGCAGATCTATGGAATCCAGTGGCTCCAACTACCGGGTGAAGGAGAAGAGCAACAACTGTCACTCACTACGATGATATTCAGTTCGTTCGTCTTCTGCCAGGTAAAACTCCTGCAGAGCTTCTAAAGAAAGAGCTCGTTGGGGGCTCTTGTCTCCTCTCATTGTAGTCACTTCAGGCCTTCCATAGGTGCTAATATGCTTCATGAAGTGGTCCACGTCCTTCATTATCGGCATTTACTCTACACTGCTTGATCATATTGCAATAGCAACTATTTTTGAGCGATCTTGCAACAAATGATCACAGTAGTATATCATACCATGATACTCTGCAACATAGGCTGCCACCATCTTTGTTTTTAGCTTCCACGACACTAATGTCCCCGGCACAATTACAGGCATAATGTTTTACAGGTATGTCTGATTGCATCCCCCACATCCCCCCGGATTGCTCTGCACTCGGAATAGTAACGTGCCATTATGTGATTGGTGTTGTCGCTTTCCTCGTTCCAGAAGAACCGTGATTGGTCTCAGATTGAAGTTCAATGCTCAAAGTCCTGGAGTCATTGTTTGGTGGTGGTTTGTTTTGGTGGCTTTACCGGGCAGGTTTTCAACGAAATGAATGCAAGAGCGATGGAGAAAATCAACATATTTGCGCATGCTTTGGACAACTGGTTCTTCGTGCTCATCATCGGTTTTACCGTTTTTTTTCAATGGATACTAGTGACTTTCTTGGGCAAGTTTGCGCATACAGTTCCTCTGACCAAACAACAGTGGGGAATTGCAGTCGGAATTGGTGCTGGAAGTTCAATGATTGCCGTAGGCGTCAAATGCATTCCTCTAGGGTCTAAACCCTGGAGGAATGCATTTACCAACCCAACCGGTGTGCTTACCATCTTGCAGTACGTACTATGGAATCCAGTTGCTCCAACTACCGGGTGAAGGAGAAGAGCAACAACTGTCCCTCACTACGATGATATTCAATTCGTTCGTCTTCTGCCAGGTTGAACTCCTGCAGAGCTTCTAAAGAAAGAGCTCTTTGGGGGCTCTTGTCTCCTCTCATTGTAGTCACTTCAGGCCTTCCATAGGTGCTGATGTAGCTTCATGAAGTGGTCCACGTACTTCATTCTCGGCATTTACTCTACACTGCTTGATCATATTGCAATAACAACTATTTTTGAGCGATCTTGCAACAAATGATCACAGTAGTAGATCATACCATGATACTCTGCAACATAAGCTGACACCATCTTTGTTTTTAGCTTCCACGACACTAATGTCCCCGGCACAATTACAGGCATAATGTTTTACAGGGATGTTTGATTGCATCCTCCACATCCCCCGGATTGCTCTGCATTCGGAATAGTAACGAAAGTCAAGCGTAGAAAAATCTAACTATCAAGGGTGGGGTTGGATGGGGTTGGAAAAAGGCTGAGATGCAAATATCTCATTCCAATGATCTAGTCTTTTGCTTCTTCGTATCATGAAACATCTAAGGGGAAGTGGAAGGGGGAAAAAAGGGCTTGAAAATAGGCTGAAAATGGAAGTATAATATGTCGTATAATACACATATCATTAAATCGGGGTGGAAAGGGGAAAAAAGGGCTAGAAAATAGGTTGAAAAGTAATAGCCTGATGCCAAAGATCTGAAAAATCTTTGCCACTCGTGACGAGAGGGGTAGAGAATAATGTCTACTAATTGTTAGATGCATCATTAATTTCATACTCACGACTAGAGAGGGCTAAGAATATTGTCCTCTTATTGCTAGATGCATCATTAATTTCATTCCCATGCACTAAAGCGAGTTTCCTCGAAGTATTTTATTTTCTCAGTTTTGAAATGTTCTCATATATCGTTGAGGCACTTGGTACTCAATTTCTTGGACATCTTAACTCTAACCAAATGATTTGGAAATGAAAACGTTGAGTACGCACAGAGTGTATTTAACTGGGAGACTACAATACTATGGAATCCAGTTGCTCCAACTACCGGGTGGAGGAGAAGAGCAACAACTGTCACTCACTACGATGATATTCAGTTCGTTCGTCTTCTGCCAGGTAAAGCTCCTGCAGAGCTTCTAAAGAAAGAGCTCGTTGGGGGCTCTTGTCTCCTCTCATTGTAGCCTTCCATAGGTGCTAATATGCTTCACGAAGTGGTCCACGTCCTTCATTATGGGCATTTACTCTACATTGCTTGATTATATTGCAATAGCAACTATTTTTGAGCGATCTTGCAACAAATGATCACAGAAGCAGATTATACCATGATACTCTGCAACATAGGCCGCCACCATCTTTGTTTTTAGCTTCCACGACACTAATGCCCCCGGCACAATTACAGACATAATGTTTTACAGGTATGTCTGATTGCATGCCCCACATCCCCCGGATCGCTCTGCACTCGGAATAGTAACGTGCCATTATGTGATTGGTGTTGTCGCTTTCCTTGTTCCTGAAGAATCGTGATTGGTCTCAGATTGAAGTTCAATGCTCAAAGTCCTGGAGTCATTGATGTTTTGGTGGCTTTACCGTAGAGTTTCTAAAATTTGGCGTTTTATTTTTATGCGCTAGATTTGACAAAATACAAAGATAAGGCGAGAGGTGAAGGCAGGCAAAATGTAGAGAATTTCGCAAGCATTCAAAGGGAGGTAGAGAGTGGATAGTGAGAAGTATCTTAGGTTAGGAATGTAGTCCCGAAGTTCTCGTCTGGATCGGAAGTACCAAAGTCATAGCGAAGCATTTGCAATCGATTATGAGTTGCAAAATTCTGTTTCAGGTCAAACATGGTGTCGAGTTTGGTTTGCAACCTGGACAACGATCTGTACAGGTTGCAAACCAAACTCTTCCGTATCGGTCGTGAAAAACGTGATGGTGCAGGTGTGAAGCAAAAGAGAACGAAGAATACGCAACTATTTCAGTTTCCGTTGTCTTGAAGTTTACAAAAATCATTTGGAGTTTCAGCATTCCGAAGATTGGACCAGTTACCTATTGCTGTCTTATCAGAAAAGGTTAGTTTCCTCAAGACTACATATATCAGACATAGATTGTTACCTAGAGACAATCAATGATACACTGCAGTTTGCAATTTATTAGTCTCTGATTAGTTGATGTTGTTATAGTGGCAGATTTGTTATTTCATTCGGAAAAAACGATGAGTTCCAACCAATTGCCAATGCGAATGTAAAATGTATCATACTTGGTTATAATCAAAAATTCTTTAAGGTTAAACTTTGTTATGCAACATGTTTTTGTTGGATTGTCATTTAGGCAAACAATCAATGTGATTGAATAGCATCATGTAGCGAGCAAGAATTCAAAAATTGTGTGATAAACCATGTGTGCGCACCTTGTTGTCGCCTGTAGATCATCTTCGATATACTCATGAATTGAAGCGTTACATTTACGCAAACACACATTTGGGAGTTCCTGTCGATAATTAGCGAATTTGTGTGTGCGGAAAAAACATGTACAATTTTCATTTCTAGTTCATTCCATTCTTTGAATGTCATACTGCTCAAAACTATGTCAAACTCATCAAGACTATGTATATTGGCATGACAATATCATTTCAATCAATTCAGATGAAGAATTTTGCCAATGGATATAAGCGTGCGGGAGTTGGCACATAGCTTCATAAAAAATGTTCCAATTCTATTATGTATTTCTGGCTAATGCTTTTCCAAATACTACCTCCGCTGAAAACAATTTTTCCATTATTAAATGAGAGAAAGACGACTCATCTACAAGGATGACAAGTATATCTTTGGCAGTCATTATGCACATGAAACAATTTGAAACGCAGAAAAATTGTTGTAGTAAACCACTAGGATGAAAAAAATAGTGAAATTAATGTTAGTGCCAAAATTAATTAGAAAAATTTTCCAAAATTTCCGTACTAAGAAATTTGTTTATGTAATTCTCTATAAAGCTTGGTATAATTACATGTACATAGTTTGAAGTGATGAACTATATAATTTTTTAAAGTCCATTGTCTCTATTTACATTTTTTGTGTGTTGCATACTTCGTAGAAGTAAAATCTGAGAATCATAGAAGTAAAATCTGAGAATCATAGGTGACAAAGCCGTGAGACGACCATCCAACGTTTTGTCCAATCCACCATACGTTTTGTTTGGTAATATATAGATCTTGGTTAGAAGTAAAATCTGAGAATCATAGGTGACAAAGCCTTGAGACGACCATCCAACGTTTTGTCCAATCCACCATACGTTTTGTTTGGTAATATATAGATCTTGGTTATGTAAAATTTTGTTATAAATAAATAGAATATGAATTTATTCCATAACCGGAGTTAACCTCAACAATTTTTAACTGAACTTGTGTTAATAAAACAATAAATATATTTATATTATTACTCAGCAAAAAATTCTAAATGCAAACTTAATACAATGTTTTTCTTTACACCATAGTTAATTAAAACTAAATCGTAATCATAATAAAACAAAATAATAACATAAAGAATTAAGTACAAATCTGCTAGCATAGAGAAAACAAAACTTCGTAACCTATATATTTATTCAGCGGAAAGTTCAATAAAATAATCTAATACAATGTATTTCTTTACACTATAGTTAACTCTATACTTTCCATGCACAACCTTCATGATAGCACAATATTGTCTAAAATTCACCAAAAAAATAACTTTAGTTAACTTATTAGCTAAATTAAATTTACCTTCAATCTTGGTTAGTTCAATTATCAGAGTTTACAGTCAAGATAAACTAGCTCAATTATCAAAAAAAATTTGATTAAGTCAATCACCAAAATTTATTGTCGAGATTGATTAGTTTAATCATCAAAGTCTATCATACATCTTGACTAGTTCAATAGTTTTATCAAACACTTTGGTCTTAAAAAAATATACATGACATTGTTATGTTTCATTCTACTGTACATATGATTTATGTCATTAATCATTAATCACATAAAGATCAAACTACCTCACAACTTATATATTAATGTTATTTTGATCATTAATCACATAATGATCAAATTTTCATAATTCATATATAAGTACTATCGTTATCATCAATTACATAAAGATTAAACTCCACCACAACTTATATACTGGTGTAATTTTGATCATTAATCACACAATGATCAAATTTTTTCATAATTTATACATCGGTGCTATCTTGATCATGACTCACATGATGATCAAACTCTCACAAAACTTATATATCGGTGTTATCTTGATCATGAATCACATGATGATCAAACTCTCACAAAACTTATGTAACAATACTATCTTGATCATTAATTACATGATGATCAAACGCTCCCACAGCTTATATATCAATACTATCTTGATCATTAATCACAATGATCAAACTACTCCATAATCATATCAACAAACAAAAATTTTGCTAATTAATACGAAGATCTTGAGAACTTTTCCACTTTTTTCAATAAACTGGATTCATTATAAGACACACATACCCTCTTTCAATGATTTAGGTTCATTGAAAGACACACTTATACTGACAAGACTCTTACAATCTACGTAACCACTAACTACTGCGCTCGCGAGATACCATTGTCCGTGATTGTCCCTCATCGTCGCCCACGATTTACTGTCATCCGTGATCGTCCTTCATTGTTGTGATTGATTATCATCCGTGATTGGCTTTTAATGTTGCTAACGACTAACTGTGTCCGCAACTAACATCATCGTACTCGATTAATTGCGTCCATGACTAAATGTCGCCCGCAACTAATAGCTATCGTTGCCCGTAACTAATGTTATGCGCATGCGACTTATTACGCCCGGGGCTGTTCGTTACTGTCGCCCGCGACTAACCGTTATCGTCACAGTCACTATTAACTATCGACCGTCACCTTTGACTATGGATCATCGCTATTAGAATGTCGTCCTCCGCATTTGTACTTCCAATCGCAATTGCTTCGTCTATCGCAATTACTCCATGTAAAGTGATTGTTTATTCACCGCAATTATCCTACCTACCACGGTTAACTTGCCTAATGTGGTTGCCCTCAACCGCAATTGGACCAACCGACGGCGTTCATCCTGCCAACCACGGTTGACTTCCACCAACTGGATTTTACCCGGCTTAGTGCGGTTGCCCCGCCTACTACGGTGCACTCGAACGACTGACTGGTTGTTTGATTATCCAATTTATGCATTTACAAAGCTTTGAAAGAATTTAGTAAGATACTATCATTGTATATGAAACAAGATTGAAGCAATATATGTTTTTCAAACCAATCATGTAATAAATGTTTGTAATATGGTGTTTAAAGAGAAGAATAATTGAAAAATAATAGTTGATCAAAGCAACACATGATGAAGAGTAATCACTAACTAGAGTAGAAATGAAAACTTCTCTCCACCTAAACTAATAATGTCATTACGACTAAAGAAGTCTATAACTCTTGCTAAAGAAGTATAAAGCTTTATTTATCAAGGATTTATAGCAATGAACAAAGAAGCATTGTAGATCTGGTTATGTTTAGGTTTCAAGAAGTTATGATTCTTTCAAATAATGTCAAATATTCTGGAAGCTGTTTGACATTTATCATCGAATGATTATGTTGTAAGTTGCTTTGTATTCTCTTTGAAATGTATATCAACAAAATGACATTTCAAATGAGGGATTTGCTCTGCTTGCATGATAATAACTATTCATGATATGTTGAAGTAGGGGAAAGACCAATTTGTAAGAGGTAAGATCAATCTATAAATAAGGAGAAATAATCTTCATACAAAATATTGCATATGAAAATATATAGATCTTTCATTGTAAAAAAATAACATTTTTTGTGAATGGATATTCAAAGTGAAGGAAGTAGCTGCTAATTATTGTTCAATAAAGAAGTCAAGGGTAGTTAGGAAACAATCATTCATGATATCATGAATAGTTATATAAAATAGGGTTCTTGATAAGTGTATGTGAACCTACAAATATTGTTGTTTCCCTTGTGCATATAGAGAAGTATCTTTCAACCATATACCAATAACACATATGAATCTTTTGATAAGTGATGGTGATAAGAATCTATCTTAATTACAATGGAGACATGATTCAGTATGCGAGTTTTACATTGACCGTTCTTATCTCAAGAGCTTTGGCGAGAGTCCACATCAGGGCTAGATTGAATATGTGCAAGAGAATCCACGTCACCCGTTGTAGACAAATACATACTCTCGAAAATGTTTGACATTCATACAAAGTCTTCCAAGCCATTCACAAGCATCTATACAGTGCCATGATAGTAAAAACACCACCATAGTTCCATGATCAGGGAAAACGGGAGCTTCTACCTCTCGCGTTACACGATACTGTTACTCCTGGGCTACTTATTGCTGGAATGTTTGATACTCCGTTGGTACTTCATGGTATTACCATGACCAATACTTGCATAGTACTCCACATTGCATGGTACCATGCAACGTGGTCTGTGTAATGCATGAATGAGCCTAATAAACGGGGGAACGTCGTGGACGAAGTTGTAATCGGTCGTTAGGGCCTATCATCTTGATATCATTGAGAATCTGATTGATCGCCTGCCGAATGTTCTGCCAATTACTTCGAATTATGTTTCGATTGAATGTTCAGTCTTTGCCTCGTACCAATCTGTACGACGTTTCTCGGCTTTGGGAGAAATGTCTACAAAGCCCGAGGTTCACAAAGACGATCTTCACGTTTCAGCTTCTGTTAAAACCTGAAAATTCGATGAAGCGGTCGATGGGTTGTGATCTGAGCATTCACCTCTCCTCACGAGGAGACTTCGCTCTTCCGGATCTGCAGAACTAGGATTTAACGCAGTCAGCAGATCGTTCAACGGTAACAATTCACGCACGTTGACACCGAACGAGTTTCGGGGTCACGTGACAGGGCTGTAAGCTTGTAACGCTCTTATGTGGTGATCCGTAACGCCCTTGGCGCGTCATGTCTAACAAGCAGCGCATTGCACTGACGCATAAGCGGTGGGAGACCGGAGGAGCGTCACACATTTTTCATGAAAAGGTTCAGATCATCGGCAATCTTGATTTGTCCCCCAGATTCTGAAGCTATTGGCAGGACGTGAAGGCAGTTCTGTAGATCCGAATTTCATATGGTCGTCAAAATCTATTATACAGATCTCGTCGATGGCGTTTGGCTTCCATTGTGATCGTGGTGCTGCAGCAGGAGGCAATGATTGGAGCCATAGGCACTACTTGACACTTTTTCTCTCATGTTCCCTTTTGTCATGTCACCTTCTGAAGGATGGAATGTGTCCTGGACGAAAACACCAATGGGATTCAATTGTGTGGAGACTTAAATATTGTCCATGAACCAGATTACTAACACTGTCCAGATATCTCTGAGAAGCGTCAAGGCTCTATTTAAAGCTCTCTAGTAGTATTAGGTATGAGGAGTATATCTTCCCTCACTGAGTTAGCATTTAGTTTCCTGGTGTTATTTATCGATAGAGTGCTCTTAAACAAAGCCTCGATGTTTCACTTAGACATCCATTAATAACATGTATGAATTTTGTTGTCAATGGAAAATATTTAAACCTTTCCACACGATTCATGGAAACTCATGTAAATACAACCTGAGCTTCAAGGTTTTCATTTCTGACTAGCAGGCAAAACGAAAACCTCGTTGCCAAGGAGGAAATGCAGTTTTCGAACTAAGCATCTATAAGAACAAGAATTAGGGCAAATCCATGGACGTGGAGGAGATGTAATCATTTCTCAAGAGAGGAGACTCACACCCGAGCAAGTCACAGTCAGATGCTGCCCCCAGATCTGAAAGTCAAGATCTGAGGTGCATCTCAGCTGAGACTCAGCCAGTGCAAAATAGAAATGCCGGGAAGGTTGAGGTATTTCTTTCCTGCGCAAGATTGCATCAGACCACTTGTCTTCGTGCGGGAACGTTATATGTTTTGCTTAAACGACTCTATTTGGATGACTTTCAGTCACATGGTCTCAAACCGTTATTCACTTGGTCTGGTGGGATTCCTCGATTACTAATTGCAGCGCTGACGCACTGGCATCTGATAAAATTTCTGCCATTTCAGGACCAAGTAAAACTGATCATGTTACGCAACCCAGAAAAACGGCAGGGTACACGAGACTTTCTTCGAGCCGGGTGAAGCAATGCAAACCCTGGCCTAAAGTGCAGAAAGAAACGGTTCACGGTTGCTCCGTCAATGCTGGAACGGCTTGGGAGGACGAATAGGACATTGAATGCAAACGGATTCCTGTGTATTGCTGAAAGGGCCATTCTCGTCCTATCTACACAACTCTGCTTCTGGGGTCCACTGGAAACGAAATACCATGGCCTCAAGGGCAGGTGTCATCTCGAAGGATAAGCAGCATATTTCTGGTACGCAGTTAGGTACAAATGAAGCGTAGGTGTCCTCCTTCCTTCTCATTGCGCAGAACCATCTGAAGTTCTCAAGGTTAGACTCAGTGTACCACAAAGTTACACATTTTACCTTGCAACCCCGACTAACCATTGGATCAGGGTGCCCTTGGGTTGTTCCTGACGCCGGTTCGAAAGCAGCGGAAAGCAAACCTGATCAAGCCTTGCGCTTTCGGCTCTAGCTGCCATAGTAGGCATGGAGGATATGATCGGACTCCAGTTTGAAGCATGATTCCCGGCCGGTCGAGAGAATCGCGCACCAATTTGGCTTCCTCCGTACCCTCCCCATTCTTGATCTTCCAGAATGACGAACTGTCTTGCGCTATGGAGGGTGCTCGCTAAGTTTATTCGGGTAGTTTGAAGTCCACAGATATTGCGGGTGACATATGTCAATCGGCTTGGTGTTTGACTTGAGTTTGTTGATGACGGAATTCAACGAACACTACTATAAATCATATGAAGGCTAGCTGTTGCGCCTCGAGAAACTGGCGCGACTCTGGGTTTAAAGATTGTTCCCAGCTCTACGTGCGTGCGGCTCCCTACTCAAATATCGAGGGCCGGAATGTGATGGCAGGGCGAGAAAAGTGCAGCGCATAGTTTCAGTGCAGCAACTGATGAGATTGACGGTTTCCCGATGGGAAGCCGGCTGTTGCGCCAGTTGACTTACGACCTGTACCCGATTTGACTGCCGAGGCGAGTCAAATTCGGCAGTGGACTGACCGGCACCTCCGTGTCGAAAACGCGGCAGACGCGTCTCAGCGAGGAGCGGTGCGTCTTGGGATGCCCTCAGCATCGCCTTCATAGATGGCCGCGTGATGCTTGCACAACAGTGGAGAACTGCAGAAGGGTGGAGCTGCGCAAGTGTTTGTTCATCGCCTGATGGGACTGGTTGAAAAAAGCGCCGCACCCTCCGAGGAGGCTTCGACTGTGTATGTTCTTTCTGGAACGCATGAACGACGGCTTAGGCTTCATGTCATGATGTCGAGCAGCGAGCGTCAGTTTTCAGATCGTGAGGAAGTGTTCGAATGAGGAATCCTCGTGGAGGATATAATAATCGAGATGTCGATGGATGCTACTGCTTCGATCAAGGTGTTTCGCAATCGCAAACAATCGATACCCTTCAGCTTTCGATGCAGGAAGGATCGGTAGAAAGCGAGCACGACGAGAAGCTGATGCTGCCGCCGGGCGAGACCCTCGGACAGGGATCGAGATGAAATCACGAGGAGAGTTCGAAAGGGGTGGGTCTATAAATAAGCATTGAGCTCGAGCAAGACGAAGGAATCTCGCGAGCCCGGGTCAGATGTTCATCTCCGTGTGGGTCAGTTGCCCATCCGGCTCGAAGAGGTTATTCGGGGAGAACATGGTGCTTGTTGAGTGACAAGATGAACCTCATTTGAAACAGTTATGGCAGACTATCCTTTGAAGATAGTACGCATCGAATCGTCAGCTTCGGACGTCCAACAGTTCGACAACCACAAGATACGACGTTGAATAGTCGCAAACATCAGCTTTGGGAGACCCCGTCGAAGCTCTGTGAGATGAGAGAGAATCATTCGTCAAGTTTCAATATCCCGCGCAGTCGATCTTCGATTCATCACATAACGTATGTGGATGGAGGGGCCATACTTCTCGCCCAAAAGGTTCACGCGCTCTTCCAAGACTTCTGGTCCAAGTTAGCATCGACGAGAGGCGCGCAGTCGGTCTCGCTCCGCGTCCCCTCCTTCGGATGCCGACATTCACACCTACACAGTTGACTTTGATGTCTTCGTAGTCCTTCGCGGAGACAGCATCTCGTCGGAGATGCCATATCCGTCAACGGCTGGCTCTGCAGAAACCGGCAATCGGATGGAAGCAATACTGGAATTCTCTTCCCGTCACGCCACCCGATGGCTCGAAGAAAAAAAGTTCCCATCCCAGCCCCTTCGCAAATCAAAACGATCAAATCTCCTCGTTCTTCAAGGAATTGATCACATAATTTATCCGCATAATTCACTCCCTTCCTCGCACCTCACAGAAGAGATCTCCCACGTCACGGCTTCGTTAGTTTCGCCGAGACCCACCTTGGCCCCGTGCATGTTCGACGCACCGGGTTCAAACCAAATACGCGTTTTCTCCCAGCTTCGTGAGAAACCCCGACTCTGGCCCTCCATCTCTGGGGCTCTGTTCAGATCCGCATCGAGAGTGATGCCAGAACAAATCATCAGAGCACCCTCTGTCGGTCTCTAGCTCACATGCGCATCTCAGCCCTCAAATTTTATAAGGCCTAAGTGGGCGCCTGTGGCATGACAACCACGGAATGGGCCTGGGAAGGTAGTCCCTTTGGTTGTGACTGCTGGCCCACTCGCAGCAATCGGGCCCGCACTCGGGCTCCTCGTGACTCCTACTGCAATTGGCAGCACATTTGGAGCGACTTTCCTCGTTATGGCTGTAAGGTTCCCCACAACAGCTTTAGGTACTGAAAGGACTGTACGAGCAAGTATTTTGCAAGTCCTTGTGGCTCGCTTGCGGACACGGCTCCGGTACTCGCTAGAAAGCTGGGACTCATCGTACCCTTTTCTCGTAGGCTCATCATGCCCAGACTGACACATCTCGATCCTTGAGTGACTCGAATCAGAGCCTCTGCGAAAATCTCATTTGCCGATCTCCAAAGTGGCTCCGGGCCCAACCCGGTTGATTCCATAAAGCTCGTCATCGACGCGAGTTTCGTGATATTACGCACACTCCAACAGATGGAACAGCATCATCACCTTTCTGAGCTACGGTGCTTGAGTGAGGATCAATGCCATCCCATTCCTTTCGGACCATCCCCGTCTCTACACAATTCGTCGGCGGAATCAAACACCCTCGAAAGGAAGACATTTGAATACCAAAAGGTTTTACCTTAACACGCAATCGCGTTCAGCAGAAAAACGAATTCGGTCAATTGCTCCAAACTCTCTCTCTCTCTACAAAACAGTATGTATTCGGTAAGTCAGAATTTCGTAGCTAGTAAGCCCGCGCTTCGCAAGAAGGCCCGTGGATACTTCGAGGAACCCTTAGAGGTGAGTCGTTTGTGAACAACCTCACGGGCCCAGGCTTAGAGCTATGGAACAAAATCCGAGGAAGCTCGTGGGTCGGGCATCCAGCGGTGACATTAACAAGCGCGAGGCCCATCCGGAGACCTCGGTCTCGGAGGCAAGCTCCCGGACGACCACGAGCAACCGTCGACTGCACCATCTCTACACTCACTCCAAAGTGGTTTTTTGAATCCGGGAATTTAAATCTTCAAACAAATTTCGAATTTCTTCTTGCTTCAAATTCAGAGCGAAACGTTCCTCCGTCTCACGTTCAGGACTAGAGCCCTAAGTTGGTCCGCAGCCCGAGAAGCGTCTTCACCGTTTCTGTCGACGGACACTTGGACAGAAATAGTAAATCGACACTCCACGTCATCGAAATTCTCTGCTTTGTCACGGCCCGTGGTGGTTTGTTGGGAGCGGTGGGAAGTAAGCCCGTTCCAGCAGCGCAAGGGGACGAGACTGTCGCTTTCCCGGACTGAGACAGTTATCCACCACTTACCTCAATTTCAGCTTAAAGCGCAAAGGTGACCGACTTAGACACAAGTCTTCCGGAAGCAGATGAACGACCTTTTCACGTCAAACTGAGTAGGTCATGGACGGACAGACCTTTGAGGATCGTTCTCCTTTGAAAACAAAGACGGATGTGACCGAAACTGGAAAAGCACGGGGGAGAAATATTCTCATCCGGAAATTTCGTGGCTGGAAGTCGATGACTTTGTCGGTCTCTAACGGGGAGGTCAAAAGAGAAGCTTGTCAAGAGCAATCTCAGTGCAGGGGACCTGCCTTTCTTTTGGCAGGCTTTCTGTTAGAGGCACTGGATTTGATGGCAGAGGCCTAAGTGCTCGAGGCTGGAGACTTGGCACAGACTTGCTCCTTTATCTTGCAGCCCGAGAGCGCTTTCAGGCATGGACGGACTTACGGACGGCCATTGGGAAAACCGAGGAGGTGCGTCCTGCAGAGCTCAGACCCCAGAAGCAGATGTCGACATGGAACAGTCCGGATCTGTGTTGAGGAATTGCCCGCAGTGAGAAGGGATCATTGCGCTCAGACGGAGTCCATGGCCAGGGCGGGATAAGGACTGAGAGGCAGAGTGCTGCATCGGGTACCCATACCCGAAACCCGAACCGAACCCGCCCGAACCGATGGGTATGGTTCGGGTTTAGACCAAGCTAGAAAGGTCCGGTTCGGTTTCGGGTTGGACTTTTCTTAATATGGTTTAGAAATAGGGTTACGTTTAAAAATGTAAATTAGGGTTACTCTGTACAAAGGTCGTGGAGTATTTTTTGATTTGACACAGTGCTAATTGCACTTGTTCTCTTCGTCCATTACTCTCGAGGTTTCTCATAGGTGACAATGACAATTAATATGAGTTCATTCGGGTCCAGTCGGGTATCAATTCAGAGGCGACTTGGGTTCGTTTCGGGTTTCGGTTTTGTCCCTTTGGATATGGTTCGGTTCCGGGTACCACAAGCGGAGAATACGTGGGCATGGATCGGGTTCGGGCATGCTTTTGAGGTGTGATGCAGTACTCGGCTGAGAGGAGGGAGGGTTGGGAGCTAGCAGCAGCGGAGACGACCGCTTCCTCCTGCTGCCCTTTGCACCTCTGGATTCGCCGCCAGCGCACGTGTGGCCGAATCATGATGAGTTTCTCTCTGACGTTATCCGGACAAGCGCATAGGAAAGATGGAAAGTGAAGGACCGGCGCTGGAGAGTGGAGACTTGATTGATGCCGTTGTTGGGAGTGAAGTACTGTGTGAGTTCTGAAGTGAGAATCATTGAAGGTTCGGAGCTGTGCACATTCTTGCTACAAGTGCGCCCCGTAACTGCAAGACAAAGCCGGGCGCACGAGTAGTTGTAGTTGTTGTTGGCAAGTGACTAGTGCCTTCGAGAGGTATTATTGCACGTACCCGCCAACAGAATCAGACAGCATACCAACTGAAGAGGCCAAACCCTTCGGCCTGTGCAAAGTGTGGCATTTGGGCCACATTCCTTGTGCAGTGTTTGGAGCGACATAATACTACCCGTGATAGTGCAATACAATCAGTTGCACAAGTCAACCAACAGATTCCCGAACTCAGGCTCAGCTGACAAATAATACCGCAACGTGAAATGGACCATGACTCTTGCACGTAGTGCTCTTTGGCACCCTGTTTACGGCCCGTTACCGAGTGGGTGTGGCTTCTATACTTGACGCTAACGTAATACGCAGTCCACGAGTCCTTTCTCGTGCTTCCAATCATGGATCCCAACTCTGTAGGGTGTGACGGAGAAACTCCACAAAGTCGGCACATGGATTGCCCTTCACCCCTGCCTGTGTCAACAAGTTGAGACCTCCCAAGGCATGTTTCTCCAGAACATGGTTTCAACTGATTTTGCGCTTGAGAGGCCGAAATTGAAAATTGACTGTTTTAATCGTGCCCAAAGTTGAGCAGCAGATTTGTGATTTTATGTCATGGTCCAACTAATGGATCCCCACTACACACACGTCGTCCATGAGTGATCTGTACTGCCAACACCACCCTCTCCGCCAAACACAACCTTGTGGGGTCCATACATATGCTTGGGTCCCTCGTCGTGCTTTTTAGTAGCCATGGTCCTTAACTGTAGATTGCGTTGTGTAGTTGGAATGGGAGAGCACGCCATGCACACCCCAGTTTTGCAAAATGTGAGGTACATAATTGCTCGGAGAACCGCTCTCTGGGCAATGTTTTGCGCTTGCACTCCCCTTGACCGGGTAAGTTAGTACATCCTTTCTCCGGGACAGAACTTTCACTGTCAGGTATCTGTTCCTCTCCAGTGCTCAACTGCCAGAGCTGCTAAGCTCAGACTTTAATAATGCTCGGAATATTCCGATGCTTCCCGCCTGTGTCGCTGTAAAGTACGTCCGTGAAAAGCTTAACTCAACTGTGGGAGTCTCAGCAGACTTCGTCTTCCGACGTTGGTTACAGATCTGTGTTGAAGATGAGTCCAGATCATATAGAACACCAAAGAAAGGAAAGAAGCAAGAACTTTACTTTGGTATCTGGATTTTCTGCATGCATCCAGAAATTGCATGTCAGAATGACGCGTGGTGACCTTCCAAATTGTGGCACTAGTTGAACAATTTAGTATTCCACACCCACCCACGCCACTATAATGAGACAGTTCTGTAACCGACTCACAGATTGACATTATCCGGAAAGCGACTGGGTTCAACATCATTCACGGTTCACTACACGGTTCCTTTCATGCCCGATTCGGTACACGGTACATCCGAACGAACGTAGCTGACGAATGAGCACGACTGGTTAAAAGTTAAAAGTTTCCATACTAAGTCAGGAAGAAAATTGCGCACTAAAACCTCACTTATCGCAGAGTATTGATCTAGCTGTAAGAACAGGTTACCCTCCCTCCTCTCCAGGTCTCATGGCTTCCAAGAGCTCACTCGGTGTAGTCGATTTGCTTAGAATCTTATCCTTGTCCTGCACGGTGGTCCGTCTTATGACTCTGTGCTGCTTCTCACTTGCATCAAGAACACTATGCGCTTTAATTTCATTTCATGTTACTGTACTGTGGAGCTGAGCGCAGCTATCTGCTCCGCGGGGTTTGATGTCGATGTCCACAAATCCATCCACAGCCTCCCCGGCTCGAGACAGATGAGTTCTCGAGTGCAGCCTTTAACTCTCGCTATCACTGCGCAGCCTAAAGAATACTGTCGTCTAGGATATAGTTTAAATTTCTATGGCGATTGGACAGGACGGTATATACCCGCGTATGTCAGAGCAATCGTCTGGTTGAAATCAGACTCTCGAGTCTGCGTGTGCATCTGCAGGGCTTGGAATTGAGCTCGGAAGAAACTCTAAGCTCAGATGTGGCAGTGGCCCAAGCTGAAGCTGCAAGTGGTCGTCTATGGCTGTGGGTAGGAATGAAACCAAATGTGGATCCGAGAAATTCAGCGCACTACTTACCTCGTGTCAAATTCAATGGTATTTCAATGGCATGCCCCCGCACGAGGTAGACACGACCATCGTCCGACCTCGTGAGAGAGACGCCGAGTCCTCAGCCCTCTCTCGCTTCGTGCGTACGTACGTACCGCTTTTGACTTTTCTACTCTCCCGAGCCCCCTTCCGAGACCGCCTGAAAACCTACGACAGAGTCGTTTCAAGTCATGCTCCGTACACGAGCGGTACCCACAGCTCGGGACATTCTCCGCTCCCGGAGACCACATAAACGCACTCCAGTGCGGCAGAGAAGCAGATGAAGTCACCATCACCAAAGCATGTTGATCGAAGCTTGCGGATTGCCTGACAAGCCCTTCCTCATGCCAATCGTTCGTTACCCGCATTGAACACATTTGCCGTCTGTCTGTGCATGTACGTTAGTCCGGGGCCACGAGAAGCCGGACCTTTGGAAACATTCCATGCAGCGACCGGGGCAGCACGGTCTGCCATTCCACCCAATTCCTCACCGGGTCAGTCAGTCAGTCAGTCGACCAGGACGCCCGACGACCACGGCGCCGTCAGCCCGCGAATCGATCTACGAGGTTCGGGCGCCGGTCGCTGTACGCGGTGAGAGATGCGACAGGGTCAGAGAAAGGAAGAGGGACCTCGTTTGTCGAGAGAGGGGACAACCGCGTGGCTTCGTCGTCTTGTAGGATTCGCGGGCCTTGATTAATGAGGGCATAATAATGATTAATAATGACATTCGTCCTTAATCTCGAGCGTAACTCAGTTTCTCGCATGTGACCTCCCCCGGGCACCGCCGGCCCTGGAGGCCTGCTCGTCTTTTTTTAAATACTCTTGCATTATTCGAGCTGCGCGTTGAGGGCCGAACTCGACGCGCCTCGCCCTGCTGCGTCTCGCGTGGTAGTATTAGGTCTTGTGGCCGGAAGAGGACATTTTCGATCTCGTGCACCTGCATGATCTGCTCTCCTGCAATTGGCGTGGAGCTTCCTGTGGTGATTTGCAGGCGTCGATTCGGAGCCGGGAAGCATTCCGAAACGCATGACCATTAGAGAGGTGGCGCGGATCGGAAGCACTCAGGGCTTTCTCTCCTTCTCGACGGAGTGAGAAGCGAGGGACAGTTTTCACTGCGTGGTCTGGTGAGCATTATCAGCGTCAGCACACGCGTAAAGACCACCACAGGCAAATCTGAAATTTTACAGGATTCAGGATTTTCGGGACATGACAAGGAGCCCTCGATTCATAAGAGTATTGGCTGGAAGGCGGACTGACTGACACCGAGGACGACGTTCCGTATTCTATGCTATTCACTTTAGAGTTCAGTTTTCGTTCCACCTTTTACAGGGCTCGGGGAGGGAGAAGAGGAGGAGCTAGATGAAGAGAGCCGCCTCGCATCACTACGACGAGGGTCAGATGTAGATTTTTGGCACTGCGAAGTTCGACGTCTCCTCAGGAGTTTCGTGGTTTTCTAATCGCAATAGTGAGAGCTGAAGAGAACGTTGCTACCATGTCCGAATTTATTTTGGAAAGTTCTAAGAACGCTGGAGACGAAGTATTAGAGAAATGGAGGGCATCCACGTTCACGATCAATGCGGCTCGCAGATTTCGTTACACCCTTGATCTGAACAAGAAGAAGCAAAACGACCAGGTGTGTGAGGTACTCTGCGCCCCTTACCAGTCGATTCTACACTGTTGAGCACGTACTCTTTTTGTCGAAGAAAATCGGTTAAGGCCCCTGTGGAGATCAACGAGGAATCTCCCGAAGCTTATGCCGAAGCTTCTCTGCTATCTGTCGTTCAACTGGACCAAATGTCGTCAGTAATGTAGAATGGTCTCTTTACTCCATCTTGTACCTTGGAAGTTCTCTGATGTTCTTCCTCAGTTCAAACTTTCCAAGCCAGGCACTTCAAATTTGGCATGTTTTTCTAAGTAGTCGTGTGCAGGTTTGCCCGCTCCAGTGAACCAAACAAGTGGCTCGAAAACAATAGTCTTTAGGCTCTCTTCACTTTCTCGTTTCTACAGCTGCTCTAACGTCGAAGTGTCGGTTTGCAGAAAAAGAAATTCAAAGTAGGAGGCTTAGCTGCGAAAGCTGCATTTCGATTTATTGAAGGTAAATGCTCAGTCTTACTTAACGTGATTTTGCTGATTTCATACACGAAGAAGCCTCTGAATAGATTAAGTTCACGATTTCTATGTTTAGGACAGCTTCAGACTTAGCATGATGAATCTGGCCCTTATGGGCTGGGCTACACACGTGCTACTATGGCAATCACAATGGGAAGCAATGATGTAAGGTGAAGCGAATGCAGAAAGATTGCCTAAAGAGGTCGAACAGACGTCCACTAGATTCTAGTAACGCAGTACACTTAGATTTTTATGCCAAAAACGGAGAGCAGTAGCAGTCCTTCGAGAAATTTGTTTGATGACGATGCTCAAGTAACACATTGAGGAAGAGCTAATTTTTGCTGTTTAACGTTGTTAGATAAATTCTGTAAACTGGCATATTACAGCTTCTGTGTTCCATATGCTATTGTTTGAAGTTTCAATGACTTCTACAGTGCGCATAGTGTTTGTTTTCGTCTACTACAAAGTCTTTGAAAGCTCTCAAAATTGTCCCACCCGAACGGTTCAAAAATGCAGCAGGTCGGATTACTCCGGAGAATTTTACCTTGTATCGGGAGAAAGCCGAAAAGAATGGATTCGACGTCGATGCTGCTACTCTTGCAACGATGGTGGAGAAGAACGACAAAGATACTTTGATCCGTCTTGGACGTATTCATGGACTCGCAGCCAAGCTGCAGGTGACTGAGAAGCGAGGCGTAAGCGAAGATGAGACTGACATTCAGAGGAGGAAGGAAGTTTTTGGACCAAACACGTATCCGGAAAAACCTCCGAAGGGATTTTTTGTTTTTGTGTGGGAGGCGATGCAAGATCTTACGTTGATGATATTGGCAGTTTGTGCTCTTGTCTCTCTTGCTGTGGGTATCCCAACTGAAGGACTTCAAGAAGGATGGTATGATGGGGCCGGCATTGGCTTCAGTATCATCCTGGTTGTGCTTGTCACTGCTGCTAGTGATTATCAGCAGTCTCTTCAGTTTCGAGATCTGGACGCTGAGAAGAAGAAAATCTTCATTCAAGTAACTCGGAGCGGATGTAGGAAAGAAGTGTCTATTTACGACCTCGTCGTTGGAGACATTGTCCATCTGAGTATCGGCAACCAGGTTCCAGCAGATGGCGTGCTTATCAGAGGGTACGAGCTTACAATTGATGAGTCGAGTATGACTGGCGAGAGTCTTCCTAGGCACAAGAGTGTCGATCGCGATCCATTTCTTCTCTCTGGAACGAAAGTGCAGGATGGCTCTGGAGTGATATTAGTGACCTCCGTTGGCATGAACACTGAATGGGGCCATTTGATGTCCACACTTTCGGAAGCTGGTGATACCGAGACACCTTTGCAAGTCAAGCTAAATGGTCTGGCAACTTTCATTGGAAAGCTCGGGCTGCTGGCAGCAATCCTTACTTTCCTTGTCCTTATGATAAGGTTTCTCGTCAATAAGCAAATGAGAGAAGGTCTCTTGCACTGGGGTGGCAATGATGCAGTTGCCATTGTTAACTACTTTGCCATAGCCGTGACGATCATTGTGGTAGCCGTCCCGGAAGGGCTTCCTCTTGCTGTGACTCTCACGCTTGCGTTCGCAATGAAGAAGATGATCCACGACAAAGCTTTGGTCCGCCACCTGGCGGCTTGTGAAACTATGGGCTCCGCCACAACAATCTGCAGTGACAAGACTGGAACTTTGACCACCAATAAGATGGTGGTCACGAAGGCGTGGATTGCCGGGGAAGTCGGTGAAGTTAGCAAACTGAAGTCGGGGATCTCACCTCGAGTTCGGGAAATCCTCATTGAAAGTATATTTATGAACACGAGTGGTGATGTCGGCGAGCCATCTAAGGATGGGAAGTGTCCCCTCATTGGCACACCAACAGAAACTGCTGTTCTTGACCTTGGAGTGAATCTTGGTGGACAATTCCAAGAAGTGCGTGCCAGGTCAGAAATTGTGAAGGTGAATCCCTTCAACTCCGAGAGGAAGAGAATGGGAGTTCTTGTGCGATGTGCACAGGGTGAACAACGAGCACACTGGAAGGGTGCTTCTGAAATCGTGCTAGGCATGTGTGACCGAACCGCGGATAAGGATGGAAACGTCGTTCCTCTAGACGACGACACACGCCGAGAGCTTATTGGCGTTATAGGAATGTTTGCTGACCAGGCACTCAGGACTCTGTGTCTTGGATATAAGGTCGTGGAATCTCATTCTGCTTCAGAAATCCCCGAATCCCATTTCGTTTGCATTGCGATTGTGGGAATTAAAGATCCAGTACGCCCTGGGGTTCCAGAAGCCGTTAAATTGTGCTTTGCAGCAGGAATTAAAGTTAGGATGGTCACAGGAGATAATATCGATACCGCGAAGGCCATAGCACGTGAGTGTGGTATTCTTACTGATGGAATCGCAGTAGAGGGCCCTGACTTCCGTACGTGGAACGATGAGCAGATGAAAGAGCGCATTCCTAAACTTCAGGTCTGTGATAAATGTCCCATCGGTTGTAGTCTTTCCTTTCTCGCGTATCATGTAAATTAGTTCCTTCTAACATTTCTTTTGTCTTCCCCCTAGCTCATGCACCCGAATTCTCTTCTGCTCTATCCGCATCTTGTGTTACTTAAACGATGACCACTATCAGTGAATAACATCTGGCTGGTGTAGGTCATGGCCAGATCATCGCCTAGGGATAAAAACACTCTGGTCAAGTGGCTTCGATCTATGGATGAGGTTGTTGCTGTGACCGGCGACGGAACAAATGACGCGCCGGCCTTGAAGGAAGCGGACATCGGAATGGCTATGGGGATTGCCGGCACGGAGGTACATACTCTTCGATGGAACGAGAGTTTCATTTGCTTCCCATTTGGAGAAAAATGATGACGAAATGAAATTGAACTCTCTTTATTTTATTATGGTTCTAACTCCTCAGGTGTTGTGACGTCATTCAAATGCTTTCGTTTCGTTATAAGTTTTGAAGAGGCAAACAGACCTCCGTGATCTCTTTGTACCTCCCTTTATATCTTCAATGTGATGGGCGCCAATGAAAGAGTCCGCTTGTTTCGTCAGAGCAGTTCGCTGTTGTTTTCCTTTAGTTCCAGCTCCTTGTAATTGGCGAATCCCTTCTGCAGGTGGCTAAGGAGAGCGCAGATATCATTATTATGGACGACAACTTTAATACAATTGTGGTTGTGGGTAAATGGGGTCGTGCTGTGTATACCAACATCCAAAAATTTGTCCAGTTTCAGCTCACCGTGAATCTTGTTGCCCTGGTCATCAACTTTACTTCTGCTTGCTTTACTGGTAAGTACTTCTTACTATTATTTCGTCTCGTGATCGCCATTGTGCGAGTACAATTCTCACCTCATCAATTACGTACATCAACCGTGCAGTACATGATGCTGACGTGAATCTTAGTTTATTGTCCTAGCAATGTACTGATATCTTTGTTTACATCTCTTCTAAATAACGGAAATTTGCAGTACTATGGAATACGGTAGTTGGAGTAACTGGATTCCATAGTACTGCAATGTTTCCAAATAAGGGAAATTTAAAGGTAGAGTGTCAGTGCTGTATATGAAATATCTCATAGATCCCCTCTCAGTTGAGTCTGGACGATGGGAATGATTTCCGATGTTTTCCTCTTATTGCAGGAGAAGCTCCACTCACTGCTGTGCAGCTTTTGTGGGTTAATTTGATCATGGATACCCTTGGTGCATTGGCACTAGCAACTGAACCTCCGCATGATGATCTGATGAAGAAAGCGCCTACAGGGCGTAAGTCAAACTTCATCACCAACATAATGTGGCGTAATATCATCGGGCAGGTTGTCTATCAGCTTGTTGTGCTTACCATCTTGCAGTACTATGGAATCCAGTTGCTCCAACTACCGGGTGAAGGAGAAGAGCAACAACTGTTACTCACTACGATGATATTCAATTCGTTCGTCTTCTGCCAGGTAAAACTCCTGCAGAGCTTCTAATGAAAGAGTTCGTTGGGGGCTTTTGTCTCCTCTCATTGTAGTCACTTCAGGCCTTCCATAGGTGCTGATGAAGCTTCATGAAGTGGTCCACGTCCTTCATTATCGGCATTTACTCTACACTGCCTGATCATATGACAATAGCAACTGTTTTTGAACGATCTTGCAACAAATGATCGCCGTAGTATATTGTACTATGATACTCTGCAACATAGGCTGTCACCATCTTTGTTTTTAGCTTCCACGACACTACTGCCCCGTTAATCACAGGCATAATGTTTTACAGGGATGTCTTATTGCATCCTCTCAGATTGAAGTTCAAGTTCAATGCCGGAGTCATTGATGTTTTGGTGGCTTCACCGTGCAGGTCTTCAACGAAATGAATGCAAGAGAGATGGAGAAAATTAACATATTTGCGCATACTTTCGACAACTGGGTCTTCCTGCTCATCATCGGTTTCACCGTTGGTTTTCAATGGATACTAGTGACTTTCTTGGGCAAGTTTGCGCATACAGTTCCTCTGACCTTACAACAGTGGGGAGTTTCAGTCGGAATTGGTGCTGTAAGTTTAATCATTGCCGTAGTCATCAAATGCATCCCTGTTCCTTCCAAGCCCTTCTTTGGTTCTAACTATACCCCACAGCCCAATGCCAATGGTTACCAGCCACTACCTAGTGGTCCTGATCATATCTGATTTTCCCAGCCTCCGCCACCCTAGAACTGGAATGGACCTTGTCAAATCTGCTAGAATGGACCAACGGTGAGCAGATTTGACCCTTCCAGCCAACTAGAGTTTGTCACCGGCGACTTGCGGGAGAAATTTGCAAACATCTCTTTGTCTACGCGTAAGGTAACTACTTCACGCTCGATGGTACGCAATTTCTGTGGGGCATATTTTCACGTCCAAGTTAACTGTTCGTACAGAAGTACGAACAGATATTCAACTTGATAGATGAGAACAAATATTCAACTTCGTTTCTCCTAGAGGGCTTGAGAAGTATGGGAAACTCTTGTCTTGGATCTCCTTATTATCTTCCTTCCTAGTGGGAGAATCGAAGTCGCGCATGTGTTGTCAACTTGGATGGGAATTTTCAGTGGTTTTCGTGATGCTCGTCCTGGTTTAAAGATCGAATCAGCTTCAGGAACATCAGCTTTATACCGCACAAGGGGATGAAGGCTGCGTCGATTAGTCTCCATTCGTATTGTGGGAGAGGTCTTTTTAGAAGGGGTGGAAATAACCTGGTTTGGTACACCAGGTTATTTCCATATCAGATTTTGTGGATTCGCCGCAGGAGGAAGGAGTGCACAGAACCTGTCCCAGCTTGAAGTAAGGGTTTACTCCAGCTTGAAGGAAGGAAGCTTCCATGAGAAGTTCCAATTTGACGACATTTGAAAGTATCATCCAGAGTATCCAATCGTTAGATTTGGGAAATTTTGCAGTGAGGTATGTGAAATACTAAACTTCAACTAGGACGAAAGTCGTGTACGATATCAGACAATCGAAATAACTTCACTTCAACTTTCCAAGTAGCAATAGTAGCAATAGTTACCCATTTAGATCCTCGTGCTGGAGGTGTTCATCTTCAACCCTAAAGCGTGAAGGCTAGATAGGTGTCGGAGAAAAGTGGCAGGAAACGATGAATTGTCGGCCTGGTAGATCGATCTGTCAATGCGCTGATATATACTTTCCAACATCTGGCTTTTCTTTATGTGCAAAATCCTAGTTTTCAATGTGCAAAATCAATGACAAACGTTATTTATGTACGATAAACTTCGCAATGTTTCTCGGAGTAGTATGCCGTTTATACTGTTCAAATTATTGGTATGCTTGTTATATCGGTACTGCTTCCTGTCGTTACATATGGATGGCGACGCATCAGTGTACAGGAACTGTAAAAAATCCAGAAACATTGTCAGGATTATGTGAATGATGTTTTGTTCCATCCCAAAAGTGTCGCTCAGTGTACATCATTTGTTGTTATTACAATAACAACAAATGATCAAAAATACATCAAAAATTTTAAAAGGAAACGAATAGAATTTTTTAGATGAGAAATGGGAAGAGAAATCATATCAAAACTTATCAGAAAGTAGGGGTAGAGTTTAGGGTAGAAAAAAATGTAGAAAAAAATGAAATAGTGAGTCAAATCAACATCGAATGTAGTTGCATGCGTAGTGCATACACTACCCTAAACCCATGGAGGAAGTTAAAAAACTAGAAAATTTTCTTTGAAGGAAAAAGTCAAAATAATTACATTATCCAATATAACTCAGATGAAACGTTTAGTTCCACGAATGTAGACAAGTAAAGTATGTACTAATGATAATTAGTACATATACTTATATACTGATGGTGAGTGCAACATGTGAGCTCAGCCCAACAAAACTCGCAAAAGCGTGAGCTGGTAGGAAGCTGCTTTGTTACTAAAGGCACCTATTATGAAAATTAACCTAGCAACACGTGTATCCGCTCTACTGCATAAAGATGCTGACGAAGGGCGAAGTGAAGCCCTTGCTCAAATGATGGGCGCTTGCAGATCCGCGGGCGCTTGCAGTTCCCCAACCAGGCACCAGAAACTTTCCAAATCAAGCCCCTCTATTTCATCAGGTGACAACCATTCATTGTCTGAGCATTGAGGTAAGCCCCTGCTAAAGTCAGAGAAAGGATGCACCTTCTTCTGCTGGTTAACTGCCCTCTTGACAGAACCTGAATCTCGTTGACTGTCACCTTGCAGCGCGTCTTCACTCCTGGAAAGAACTCTGAGCTTCGGAAGGGACAATCTCTCGATTCTCAAACTATCCAGACGATCAAGTACATCTCCAGCCGACACCACCAGCTTTTGTTGCAAAGTTTCCAGATCCCTGGCCAATTTCGCTTCAACGCCTTCGGCAACTCTCTCTTCCAAATTCATCTCCTCGGCGTCTAGCGAGGACTCTGTTGTGGGAGCACTTCTGGCCAAAACCGAATCGTCTGACTCTTGACCGTCTGTAGGAGGCAGGACACTCTGACCAGTAGCTCGTTTCCCTTTGGAGGTGACTAGAGTTTTGGACTTGAGCAAGTCTGCACACCGGACGTAGGTGTGTCTTGCTCCTGCTCCCGTCCCAGCCGAGGGAAATTTACCCTTGATCAGATCTGATACTTGCTTCTCGACAATGTCGTTGCTCTCCACAAATCGCTCGTACTCGGCTTCGAAATTGTCCTTCCTCTTCATGCACTCGTTTCCGTTCAGGCCCAGGCTCTTCCCGTCCCTCGCCTTGGCGACGGAACTTCGACCCGGGTGCTGGGGATGGTGCCTGCTGCAATGCGCATCCACATCCTCGCCATCAGCGCCACCTTCTGCTGCCTTGGACTTCAATCCTGCCACTCCCGGATAGCCCTTGCGAGTTGTGGGCTTCCTGAGGAGAGATCTTCCCCGAGTGTCCGGAGAAACTCCTCCTTCTCTGCTCACACTCTTCCTCCTCGAGGTGGAATCAATTCTCGTGACACGACTCTCGAGCACCAGCTTCGGGACCGTGCAAGTCTTCTCTGCAGATCCTGGAGTTCTCGATATGGATCTGATCGGGGTGCCATATCGACTGGGAACGGATCTGGCTCTCACTGAGGGAGAACAGCTTCGAGCAGCAGCAGCAGCAGAAGAAGCAGAAGGAGTGTTCCGAGTGGGTGTGATCCAAGGCCGAGCTGCTTTACTTGGCGTAGGTGTCCGGGCAACATACGGAGCAGCAGCAGGAGCAGGATTAGCGTGCTGCTTACTTGCTGAAACTAGATGAGGAGGGAGCTCATTGGACTGAGCACAGCGTTCTACTGGCATGGGGGAAGCTTCTGGATACATGGACTCGGGCACAATGGTCTGACTCAGAGTCTCCTCATCTATCTCCACACTTCCATGGTTCTCCCGGAGCCATGTATGAACATCTAGCGTGCCCTTGCAAATCTGCCTCGGTATCAAATCGTCGATCATCTGGTCGATGGGGTTCGGGGGCGCAGCTGTGGACTGCAGAAGTGAATCAGATCTCAGAGTTTTCACCCAGTCGATCTTTCTTTCGAATTCTGGGAAATAGCGAGACTGGACGGCAGAACCCATGCTCAGGCTGCGCGCCTGCTGCTGCCTATCCACGTTGTAGTTATTATTATTGTTGCTGGCAATATCAACGATTCTGGACTCCTCCAAATCCTTGCGGGAGACCTCCTTCAGTACAGCTTTCTTGCTCTTGCTCCCACCTGCTGCTGATGATGATCGCTCTCGCACGTACTCCTCAGCAGACACTTTCGACCTGCTCTGCCTGCTCTGAGTTGTAGTCAACCCTTGGTCCATGTGCTTGTGCTGCAGCTGATGCCGATGCTGCTGCTGCTGCTGCTCAGGGCTGCAGCTGTTCCGAACAGAGTTGGCCTTGGCCAACAAGCGGGCTGGGGTTCCCAAGCTGCGTCTGGGCAAATTGATGGGGCCCAGAAACGGGGCATCGCTCAACAATCTTCGACGAGAACTTCTATCGACAGATTGCACTCCTTTCCGCTCTGTTGTGGACTGCAGGAATTTGGCAGCCACAACTCTCCCACTCCGCCTCTTTGACTCCGAGGCAGGGCGCTGTTTCTCGACTTCCTCCAACACAGTGGGAGGAGTAGCGTCAGGAGGTCCTGCAGGTGAAGGAGCACATCTCAGCGGGGTCTGCGGACAGCTATGGCCCACCTTGCTGGATTTCTCCCCCCACCCAACACGCCTCGACTCCTGCCTGGCATGCAAATCGGCCAGCTTCTGACTCAAGTGTAAAATCTCCTTTGCAATCTCCTCTTCGATTTCACGGGCGATGTCTGCTTCTAAGTCAGCCTCGACCATCGCTTCATGATCGCTCAGAGGGGTGGGTGCTGCTGCTCCCTGAACTCTCTGGGCACTACTACCACCACCGCCTCCGCTCAACTCAACCCCTCCTCCTCTGGGCGTAGGTTTGCCCGCCCTGTTGCCAGCCTTGTGACTCTTGACGCTCTTGCCATCACTGCAGTAAGGAGGACTGGCTCCTATCACCTGCTGCATGGCCAGCTTTCTGGACCTCCTCCTCTCAGAACCCACACAATCAGGCGTCGTTTCGGGGGCAGCATAGTTGAAATTATAAGCCCCAGAAGGTCTTCTTCTGTTGGAATCTCCTGGAGTGTTATCATCTCTCATCGAAGGAGACGCAGCGGCACACAGAGGATGAGCTGGGGAGGAGAAGAAGGCCTGCGACGATGAGGCAGCTTTGAAGGCGGGCATTTGCGCCAGAGTTTTGCGGGTCCTGGTGACATCCATCATCAGCCTGTCCAGGCATCGGGAATTGCCCACGCTCTCTGGGGTGAGGGAAGACATGACGGGAGTGTACCAGTTGCCGGATTTGGACTCGAGATCGAACTGAGCACGCAGAGATCTGCCCCTCTCCTCGGGGGTGCTCGTTGTTGTCACGGTGGCAGGGCTACTCCCGGCTACAGCACCGATGCTGAATGCCGGGCTGCTTGCTTCCGTGCACTTCTCCTCTCCGGGTGAGCCATAATTTCCATGATCGACGTCGACTTTGCTTTGCTCTCCTTCCGTGCTGCTCGACAGTCGTCGCATCTGCTGCTGAGGAGGAGAAACGCCCTGACTAACGAGCCCGAGGCTCACGTGCTTGGAGAAGCTGGAAGGAGATCGACGAGACGTAATTGTCGTCGTTGTTGCAGACTCATTGCTGAAGCGTCTATCATCAGAATCATCACAGAAAGCAGGATTGCACCACACGACTTTCCTCTCTCCCCCTTCATTTCTAACAAAGGGCACTGCCTGCTGTAAAATTTTCCCATCTGCACACAACGAATTCTCAATCTGAAATTTCCATTCACTTTATACGAAAATCCCGAGTTCTCTTTCTCAACGACAAGACAGGACCGAACAAAAATCACGGAGACCTTTGGACTCTTCATTAAGAGAGCTGACACTTTTAATGGACACTTTACCTGAGGAAGGTTGTGCTGTACTGAAGTGATCGATATTCAAACTGATGGGCGAGAGAGCCACTTGGGCTTCGTCTTTTCGCAAAAGCGGTGCAGGCACGAAGGTGTTTTCCTGTTTAAAATGCACTCGTCCCTCTTTTCTGGGAGGACTATTTCTAAGTTGAACCTGCGCAGTGTTTTCGAGCTTTTCAATCCACTGCTTGGTAGCTCTGTACCCGTGTAAGGTCGGCCCAGCAGCAGCCTGCGGCGTCTCGCTCGCTGTCCCAGCCGCTCCTCGCATCCTCAACCGCCCTCCTCTTCTCACATAAGTAATCAGTTCTTTTGTTTCCCCCATGTCACCAATTCATTCGTCAACGATCATAGATACTGACATCTAACTCATTTCACTTTGCTAAACCTGTGTAGCGGTGATTTTCATACAGGACAATGCACGTATCAAAATAGTATCATTGCCACGAGATTCCGAGAGTCGGCTCCGGTATCTACCGACCAGAGCTTCGACCAGCGTTTCTCTCGCGCGTCACTCCGAGCGAGAGCCACTTCCACCGCACCGACCGATTGATGCGAGACGAACTGAAAATGCACCGCTCTGACGTAAATTTCTGCTCTCTCTTCTCCGGTACCGTGAATATGAGATTCCGAATTACCATCGACGACGACCGCTAAAGTTCACCGACGATTCGTCACTCCTTGACACTCCATCCGCGGGGCATGATCAATTTGGACCTTCTCCCTCGACGAATGATATTCCCCAACCTCCCTCCCTTTCGCTCCCCCTCTCCTCTGTCACACTCAGTCCTGTTCGAACACCGCCTCTCTTTGTCTGGAGTCTCCGAACTTCTTCCACGAATTTCTGCACCGCAAATTGCAACTCGCTGCGGCTCGTCGGAGCTCCCGCTGATGTCGTCGCGATCGTGGAACAAGGCTGGCGGTGCGGAGAAGAGAAGTTCACATAGAGGCCAGCGTGGGGAGAGTCGGGGTTGGGGGGGAAGAAGGGACGGATTGAGATCGGGCAGAGCTCGAGCGAGGAGACTGAGTGCTCGAGTCTCGAAGACCAGAGACACAGAGCTCTCCCCTAACGGTCGGAAACTTTGTCAGCACTCGCAGTTCAACGGCCTCATCGCCCCCTGCACCGCGCAGTCGGGAGATAACAAGGGAAATACCGTCGCCACGGTTTATTTTGATCTCCTCTCGCTATGTAATCGTCTCTTTGCTCCCTCGGAGGTGTTTTTTTACGTTACGAGTGAATAAAAATTGGACGTGACAAAGAAAGTAGCGGAGACGGAGCCAAATGTCAAAGGGCCGGTACAGTTGTGGACTCGGACTGCTCCGCCAAAGTACGTGACCGTTTGAGCGATTACGAAGGCGGCAGAGGGGGCGACGGCCCTTCGGAAGCATCGGACCGTTTGTGGGCCGTGTCACGGGGGAAGGCAAAATTAGTCGTTCACAACTTTCTCTCTGCATGTTACAGCACGAGGGGGCAGGTAACGAGTTCTGGATTATCTCCTGTTTTTTATTGTCATATCTCCAAAGCTTTCCATATTTGTCATTCCCAAAGCGTTTTATTGTAAAAAAATCCAGTATTTTGAAAAGGAGATTTCATTGCAGGTTTCCGACCTGCGATGGGAATTGTGCACATAAACGGATAATGGGGTTAATGCCATTACCTGCAAGCGCATAGCTCATGCAGATATTTAACGAGCAGCCGAGTTGCATCAAGTTTGAATATGCAATTTTATATGTGTATCAATTTGACTATATGGGTTCTAAGAAATACATCTTTAGAAAAAAAAAATTCATGACAAACATATCAGAATGTCATGATATTATTCAAATATTGTAGACTAATAAGGCAGCTGGTCAAATCTGGAACCAATTTTATCTGTTTAGTTTGAATAAATATTTCTATAGTTTTTATTCAATTTTTATAAATATGAGAAATAAATACAAAAAAACCTTTTACACCAGAATTTTAATCTGAGTCATACAAATAAATTAATAATTTTTATTCTTCTTTATAATTTATCAAACCTATATCATTGATTAACTTATTTTTCATGAATGCACACATGCTTTGAACTTTAGAATATTTTAGATTTTCCAATATTTTAGACTTTAGAACATCTTATATTTTCTAGGTCACACAAATTTTCTACACATTTTCTGAAATTAATTATTAGAATTGGGTGTTTTTCCAGTAATTTTTCTCAGAATATGAAAAATATTATAGTATCTCATATAAAAATCTTTTTGAATTAGAAGAGAGCAAATAAAAAAAATTAAGTGTTTCAATGGAAATATTTTAAATATATTTCTTAATCACTTTTAAATCATTGATGAGAGATTAGATTTGCAGTAACATCAAGTATATTTGAAAAATTCAAATTTTTAAATTAAAAATAAACAGTTCATACAAAATATCAAAAACAAATTTATCCCTCCAAAATTTAAATAAATTTAAATATGCAAGACAAAGAAGAATTCATTCAGATTTTTATATTGCATAGTATATACACTAATATATTTGAATCACTTAATCAATACTAGGACCACATTGAGAACACAAAGTTTGAATTTAAATCCTACACAATGATGAAGAGAGCTTAGATTAGCTCTTTAATATATCACATCCTATTTGATCTAACTAATTATAGACACAAAAATTACAGTTAACCAAAACATTACTTAATTTTCAGAAAACTCAATTTGAGTATTGTCAACAAAATATTCAATATAATTTTTTTTTAAATATATTTCAATAAATTTTTGATTTTTGAAAATTGAAAAAACTATAACTAAGTTGTAGCAAAAACAAAATTTATAAAATACAGAATTTATATGATTGTAGGTTCTTGAAAGTACTAAAAAACATCCATATTGATATCAAAAATCTTTCAAATGCCTTGACATTTGCAAGACAGTTTTTGTTCTTTTTTATTTATTCTATATAAGATCTAATGAAAATCTATACAAATCTCAAGAAATAAAATTCATAATACTTTAAATTATTGTAACATTTGAAGATATAAATGATTATCATTGAAATATTGAATTATAAACTGAAAATTGAAAATCTATAATCAATTTTGTACTTTACTTTTTTTCAAAAGTCACATATATGGATTCTTCTCATCATCATAAATTTTTGTGAATCAATGATATAGCAGATATAATTTATAAGCTCAAAAACTTCAAACATGTTTTAATTTTTGTCTAACAAACACATGAAGTGTTCACGTGTAACTTTCATTTTGTATCAAACAATTACAAATATTGCATGATATGGTTAATAATTCCAAATTCGAAATTGTAATACAAATCAACTTGATATCACATGTATTCATAAAAATTAAAATGAATTTCCATTTCAAAATGTATAAAACTTAATTTTTTTAATTTTTTGTTATGCAAAGTTTGCATTCAACTATTGACATGTTTGTAGTTGTTCTCATATTTTATTTTAATGTATTGAATATCTTTGTCAAAATACTCAAATTTTTATATGTTCCACGTATGCATGTTAAATCAACAATGTTTTCAAAGCAACTAATTTTGTTTTAATATCTTGTGATACTTATTAACTTATTGCTTGTCAAGCTTAAAATCATTGAAAAACTCACCTCGATATTGTATTAATTTTTTGTATGAGCATGATTATTTGACCATATATATGACAAAGCAAGCATGTGATGTGATAGTTATAGAAGTAAGCAAACAATCAAACCAAAATGAATTTTCAATCAATTCTATCATTTAGATGTTGAAATTAAATAAAATCATCAAATAGTTGAATGCATATTTACTTCAAAAAATCAAGAATATTGAATTATATTCATATTTTAAAATCTTGATTTTAGATATCAGATTTTCATCTAATTTTGACACGATCAAAATTTTGATAATCAACTATATATATATATATATATACTTACTTATGACATCATACAAATACTATTAGTTTTTAGAAACATCAACATCGCAATGAAACAATTGGTTACTTGCTTTTTATATCTATAAATCTACCAACAAACTCTTGTTACTTGATTATTTATTATTGATTGTTGTTCATATATGATTGCAAGTATTGTGTTTGTTAGCACTGTTGTTTATAAATGCAAAAAATCATTTTTGTTATATGACATAATTTCTTAATAGAAATTGATTGCCACTGTTTGTTAATCACAGCATGTTGAATCAATGTTTTGAAAAATAATCAAACTTTATTCAAACAAAATTGCAAAAGAAAATCTATTCAAACACATAAATAATGTATCACAGCTATACATGTTACATTTATAAATACATATAATTTTTGGTTATAAATCCAAACTAATTTGTCATAATCATTTATTTTATATTTTTCATTATAATTGAAAAACTTAATTTGATCAAGGTTATTTATGATTAATCAAGATCAAAAATCAATTTTCAACATTTACAATATTTGTGCTTAGAATATGAAGTGATTATATAAATTTTACATGCTACATATTACAAAATAATTTTTTATGCATTTATAATTTACATACCAAAAATTACTACAATAAAATGTTTTTTATTATAGATTTTTTAGTTTCAAACAAGATTATTATAAGTTATAATAATGATTTTTTTAGTAACTTGCTTGATAATTTCCTTCATAAATACTTTTAAAATTTATAAAAATGCAATCATATGTTATGTGATTAATATTTCTTACATGCAGAAATAATTTAAATGTATATAATATAAAAAATATTATTTTATTTTATTTTATTTTTAAAAAAAATATATTAAAAATTGATTCTATGATATTTATGCTTATGTGTAATTTATTTTTTATTTGTATATTTTAAAATCTTCTGTAAAATAAGTATAATAAATTTATAAATATTATAGATTAATAGAATAAATTTGAATTTAAATTGAATATTGCAGTTATGATATATTCACATTCTTTTGTTGAAGATTGGTTCAATCCAAATGTATGTAGTTGAAAGGTATTGCTTAGACTAATAATCTTCAACTTTGATATTCTTTTCTCTCTCCAAGAGTAAATAGTTACCACGTACATAATTCTAAATTATCTCATATATTGCTCCACAAGATTTTGTGGCGATCATCTTCTTTCAATTCATAGTGAAAGTTGTAAATTGTATGAATTAGATGCAAATTTTATATTTTGCACTCATATATAGCTCTTTGTGAAAGGTTTGTAATATCTCGTAACACTTCAGGTGAATTTTTTCTACTACAATGCTCAAATCAATGCCACTTCAATAAATTTTGTTCAATTTTCACCTTGTTTTTCGTCTTTATGCTACAATTTTTGATTCCCATTGTAATTTAAATAATAAAAATTCATATGACTCATATTATCATGTCATTAATCATAACCATGAATTATGCAAGGAGAAAATAAAAGTCGCGAGTCTATTATTTATATTTTACATAAAGACTGATACGAAGTATTGTATGACTGCCAACAAATTTATGAAATACATACTCATTGTTATGCCACAAGCAAACAAAAAAATCATCAAT